TCTTCCGGATCCATTTTCTCAGCTTGCCTTTAAGGAGTGCCTGCTACAAGCAAGGAACCCTGGGAAGGCGGCTGCCAAGGAGACAAGCCTGCCTCTGCCTCTCACTGCGCTCAGGAAGCAGCAGTCCACCTGGCAGAGACAGGCACGGGGCGAGTCAGCGCAAATGGGTGATTAAAACTGTACTAAGTCTCTGCAGAAGAAAATAACTGAGATCCGAGAAAGTAAGAAAAATACGAGGGAGCAAAATATGGCTGGCAGGAAGGCAACTCCCAAAATGTCTCTCTGAGGAAGGGACGTTTAAGCCACAGCCATCAGAAAGAGTGGGAATCGGTAACAGAGCGGAGTCTAGAAGGCCCGCAAGCTCAGAATCGGCAGGTATGGAGAACACGGAGAGCGTCCGGAAAGGTTTTGATGTGTGTGAAAGTCTAAACTTTAGACTCTAAAGGAAGGTCCCTGTGGCCAGTGGGTAATGAGCAAGAGCGGCCTTGGAAGGAGCTTGTTGCAGAGGCCAGGTCAGGCAGGGTCTGGTAAGACACGGTAAGATTTAAAATTTAATTACAAAGGTAAAAGGAGGCCACTGAAGAGCTTTAAGGAAGGAAGTGACATGATCCGACTTGCATTTTTAAAAGACCCGGCTGGCCCTGGGTGAAGAATGGAGCTAAGAGGGAAATAAAAAGCCTTTCAGACAAAGCCACCGGCGTGATCCTGGCAGGAAGTGACCGCAACCTCGAATAGATGTAGAGCAGTGGTGGGAAAAGCAGATGTATCCAATAAGCATCCAGCCCTAGAATAGACAGGGCATTGTGTCCTTGGTTGAAGGAAGGCCAAGACCACCACAGGGATGTCTGGTCTGAGTAGACATGATGGGTAGATGGGGGTGTCATTCATCAAAACTGGTAATACTGAGAGCTGAGCACATTGTAGGAAAGAGTCAAGAATTCCCTCATCCTTAATTATCAGGGGACAGGAGCTAACAAAAAAATATGAGAAGGATGAAAAATATATTGGGTTGGATCATATGAAAATTGTCATAGATACAAGCAATACAGATGATTTCATAGAATTCAACCTAGTAATTTCAACGTAAGTCAGCCTAAGGAAGAAAAATCCCTCCTCCGCGCTGATTCTTCGCCTACCCAGGATCACAGGGATATGCCTCTAATTGGGTACTTTTTGCACTATAGATCTGCCAGGTTCCTTAGACATTAACTTAAGAATTGAGGTTCATGAGGTATTTTTAAGACAAAAGCACCTCTCAAAGAGCCTTCGGTCCAATCTCATCTAGACCCACAATGTCCTTTCTCCTGGCCTGGGTCCTGCCTTTGCATTTTTGCATTTTCAGGAAAAAAAAAAAAAACATTCAGGACCTGAAATCATAATGATGGAGAGTGCTGGAGCTACCTCAGGAGCTATGAGGAAACATCCTGTGACTCCAACCTACCCACAGAGACTCCTGCAGCCTTTGGGTCCCACATAGACTGTCTGGATGGAGTCCCTGAGAGAAGCCTATCCAAGCAATGGTAGTGACATGGACGGACAAGATCAGACACAGTACTTCACTTACTGCAGAGCATCTGTTTTGGTCCACGCTATGATTGTCCCTCTAAGGTGTCACACAGGCCAGGTCAGGGGCACTACAGTATCTTTTCATGGGGGAGGCATCAAGAATTGCTGTCTCGGGTCAGGAAACTGGGGAACAGAAGGTGCAGAATGCCCTTGCAAGACAGCCGGGAAGCTCACTGATGATCAATCAGTGCCCGGTGCCTGCCTGCTGATGGCTGGCAGCTGGCTGCATACAGCAAGGTTAAAAGTAGGCAGGTCACTAGATGCTCAGTCAACTCTGGGCTAGAGATGTCCTAGACACTTTTGAGGGCTAACAGGCTGTCTGGGGAAGGGGAAGGCAGAGATTCAAGAGTATCCCAAGTATGGGCAGAGGAGGACACTGTGGTCTCTCATGTCCTATTCCTTGACCCTGTAGCTGCCCAGTCATCACTATCCCACAGTGGACATCTTACCCACTCACTACACAGCTTCGTGTTGGAAGGACACACAAACATCCCATTACCAAGTTGTCCCCTTGCCTCGGAGTGCCAGCATGGCCTCGGTGCTGTTTTCAGAACTAGGTCTCATTCCTGGAGGCTGAGTCAGCTGGGTTCTACATACTAAAGCAGGCTCTCCTTATACTGTCTGGGCTGGGAATGTCCAGAGAAAATGCAGAGGAAACTGCAATCCCTCAACCCTGGAGGGATGCAGATTCAGTGGACAGTTTGCAGCCAAAAGAAATAAAGGAACCCAGCTTAGAAGATGGGTCCCCGGCTGGGGTGCACAGCAGCTAAGCCAGACAAACCTTCCCCAGCCCTAGACCCAGGGGCCATAAGGCAAAGGTAACAGCCATCAGCAAACCCCACTCACACCCTCTGTTCCAGACAAGCAAGGCTCTTATCTCTCCGAGAATTCTGACACATTCAAGCACTCTATCCCTTAATCCAGGCACTCCTCCCTAACTTCCAGCCTGACATGCAATCCTTCATCCATCTTGCTTTCCAAGCGAGTGATTCAAGACCCAGCCCTGGCACTCCTACCGTGATCTCACAGCACCAACTCTCCCAGCTCACACAGAACTGAATCAACAGCTACAGGCATCGTTCTATAATTTTTCCAAATGAGCTTAATCGTCTCCCTCAGGAGGCGGGCTGCTCCAGGAAGGATTAGGTCTCAGATGCCGGGCTTGTCACACACATTAAGCACATCCCACAAAGCACGCTTGTTAATTAAGAGGTTACTGTGGGGAGCTAAGGGCAGACGGGTGGACAACACATAACCATTGCCACCTAGTCTCTCCACTGAGTGAGCCTAGGGTCTCAGGCTGGGATGTTCTCCTACTCTGCCTCCCCTTCCAGACACCGCAGTCAATAGTCTGAGCTCAGACAACCCTCTAGAGTCTTCACGAAGCTCTACATTCTGGAGAAGGCTGTTTCTCCCCCTAACTTCTCACCTCCCCAGGGACCGAAGTCAAAGGTTAACTCCTCTTGCTTCAAGCAATCTGTACCCTTATCTCTTTTCTTTCCTAGAAAACAGTATCTGTTGAGTACTTTCTATATGCCTGACATTTATTTATATATTTATTATTGTATAAATTTTATTTATTTATTTATTTATTTATTTATTTATTTATTTATTTATTTATTTATTTGTATATGTGTGCACAGTGGGATGTGCATGTGCCACGGCACACATGTAGAGGTTAGAGGACAGTAATATGGAGTTCGTTCTCTTCTTCCGCCTTTATAAGGGTTCTGGGGATTGAACTGTGATTGCCAGACTTGCAAAGCAAGCCACTTTACCGACTAAGCATGTTCATGCCTGTTTTCGAAGTTTAAGTGCATTTAGTGAATAAAGCAGATAAGAACCCCTGCCTTGCACTTCCTCCTCGTAGAGCTGGAAGGGGGGCAACAAGGGGTGAATCAATTATCAACACTCCCCAGTGAGTGGAACAGTATGTGAGATAGCGTGCCCCCAAAGGCTGCCGATGGTCTGCAAATTAAAGAAAGGGGTGAAGGTTAAGGATGACAAGCATAGGTGGAAGACAGACGCAGTCTTTCACAAGGTGGCCATGATGGACCACACTGGAAAGAACACTGTTGAGAGAGATTTGAAGATGGGAACTTGCACTGGGCAGTCTGGAAGAGCCAAGGGATCAGCCATGGTGAGAATCCCAAGGCGATGCAATGTGGCCAGAGAGGAGAGAGCTGGGGAGTGGCGGTGTCACAGACAGTACGGAAAAGGCCTGGAACAGTTAAGAATTTGGACTCTGTAAAGCCATTTCAGAAGTTTGAGAGAGATGCTCAACTATCAGTCTGGCTCCTCTGTAGATACTAGGCTGTGGTGAACGGGAAGCAAGCAGGGTGATCACCCACACATAGTCCCGCTGAGGTAAGCCAGGCAAGACCTGAGAGGTCTCAGGAACTACAAAGCGACAGAAGATTGGCGGGTTCTAGACTTACTCTGGAGGCAGAACCGGGGTCTCCTATGCAGGGGGAGATGGTGGGGAGCAGACAAGAAAGGAATTAACAGACAGTTGTCATCTGCTGGAAGAGGGAGGTAGCAGGATAGATTTAGAGAAGACTATTGACAGTCTTTGGGGCAACACTGAATTGTCTTAAATAAGCAGAAAGCAAGTGTGGGATCTAGGAGAGACGTCTGGCCCAAGTGAATAAATAAATGTGTGTGTTGTTGGTATGCAAGTCTTAGGTGACTGGGTAGGGAGGTGGAGGATACCAATAGAGAAAACTGCTGACTTCTCTATTCCCCTTTTCAGAGTATATGCTCCATTCCTGGAAAGGCTTAATGTTTACTGAAAAGAAGGAATCAGATTTCCCCACAGGAGCAACGTGATAATAGCAGGTTAGACTCGGAACCAAGGACTAGTTGCTCAATTTTTTATAGCAGTAATCACAGACATGGCATTTCCTCAAGTCTTTCACACATTGTAAATGAGAAGTCTACAAGCTGTACAAGGGAGAACTTTGACAGCCTCTTGGTCATAGAGACAAGATCACTATGACCTAGCTGGTAGACCCGGCCCTTGGGGCATGCCTTGGAAGCCCAGAGTCCTGGTAACAGTTTCCCCACTCATGCACCAGTTCCCAGGTACCTTCCAAAAGGATTTGAGAAAACAAATGAGGCCTTTCTGTTAGTTATTTAGCTGCGTTGTGTTCTTACCCTGCAAGGAAATGTCACGAAACACGACAGAATCCACTTAAAGAGTTTATTAGAGTTAAAGGGACAGAGTGCGCAGGCCTGTGGGAGAGACACGTGCCTGGAGAAGAAGAGGGACTGGGAAACATGGCGCTCCACTTTAAAACCGGCTGGGGGCATGGCCAGGTCACGTCACTACTCCACGTGTGTGCGTAGATCACATGGTCACGTTGCGCGCTTACGTGGCCATGTAACATCACGGATCCTGGTCACGCGGGACGCCAGGTATCCTGGTTACGAGAGACGCTTTGACCCGGAAATGGCTATCCTGACTGGAATTGGCTAGGCAGAAGTGTCCGCCTGGTATATGCAACCGTGGGGGCGTGTTGTGAACCCTTCACTTTCTACTCCACTTTGTGATTATTTGAAAATAATCACAAAGCCTTGACTATTGTCTTTACCAAATCGGGAGAGGAGTCGCTAGCACAAACCATGCACCACACTAATTTTATCCATTCGCTGAGCTCCTACATTCCCAAGGGAATCAATGACGAGAAAGGAGGAGACCAGGCCACACCAACCCCAAGGGAAGCCTGGGTTGGTGGAGCTGGAGAACAACAGGACACTCCCCAAACAGAAAAGGCTAATTGAGTAAACGCTCAGGGTCCCCCTGGTCTAGCAGCAGAGAAAAGGCTGGGATGGAGGGGCCGGGCTAGGCCATCTGCTTCCTGCAAAGCCCGATTGAGAAAGGGGTCAGGGAGAAGGAAGGCGGGGAAGCTTTTACAAGCAGGAAAGCTGCCTTGGCCAAGAGCTGAGGCAAGTCAAGGGCTGGGACTAGAAGAGGCTCAAGGAGGTTTTGGAGACTAGAGTCTCAAGACCATTTGGCATCCTGGTAGGATTGGAGAAAGGCAGGGGCAATCCAGAGAATGCTCAGGAGACTAACCAGAGAAGAAGCAGGGTGAATGGCTGTGTGGAGGCCAAAAGAGACCAGTGCTAAACTGAGTTGATTTTCGGAGGGGCGCGCGGGTGAGGGGGGGGCCGGGAGGGCAGGGAATGCAGGGGCGCGGGGCTGCAGCAGCTGCTAATCTGCATCCACCCTGCCCTGTAGGGAAGGCTCCTCCTTGCTGAAAGCTGTGTGAAGAACCCTCTGGAGGAAGGGGCCACCAGGGAGAGGCTGTCACGCTCAGGGTTACAGTGGGCACTCCAGAGGGCAGCAGCTGTGGCCCTAAGTACTAGGAAGACACACCCCAGTCCCGGGAGGCACCAGAGGCTTCTGGAAGCTGGTCCAGGCCCCTGCTCAGCTTGTGTTTCAGGTACTTCCTGTAATTATCAGTATCGCTGTTATTAATGAGGATTGTTGTCAATATTAGTGGACTGCAAGCCTCACAGGCTAGGCCTGGTCCACCTACTTGGCTACTGACTGTTTGCAGAACTCCTTGTCCCTTCCCTCCAGATGGTGACCTGTCTCTTAAATTCAATCCCCAAACATCCCCCTCTGTGGCGGCATCCCTGCTGAGCCGCACCTGGCCTGGCTCCAGAGAGCAGCACCTCGCCCTAGTCCATCTTTTGTTTAGCAGACAGCTTTTGTGTCCCTTGTTGCCCTCTGTGTGAATCCTGACTCTGGAGTCTCCCAAGGATACAGAGGCCTAGGAGGCTTAGTTCAGGAAACCCGGAAAACCTTGGCACCTGAGAAATCGAGGAATTTGCACTTGGCATTGTATTGTTTGGGAGCTCCTTTCAGGTTGTTTTGAGCATGTGGAAATTAACTGGCTAAACTGTAATGGGGAGAAATAAAAATGCCTGAGGCAAAGGAAAGATGCTCAGTCCTTCGAGGCTGGACTGTGCCGCCCTTCCCCCCACCCCCGCCCCTGCCCCGGCAGCCATGAAAGGCTAGATTCATTCTTTTTTTTTTTTTTTTTTTTT